ACTGTATTCTGTGTCATTTTGATACTCCGGCCTCGTCTTTGTCGACAGGCCCCTGCTGCGACCTTCCGGAAACCTCCGGGGACTGAGGCCTCGGAAGGGGCCCGGCTGCGACTTTCTGCGCCTCCTGGCCCCTGTGGCCGCGCCTCCGTCTCCTCGAGCCCTGAGACTCCGTGCGACGGGACCGCCGTCTGCGGGAGATGGGCGTTGCTGGGATGTCTCCGGCGAAATCTTCGCAACCTCCCTGGGATTCGCTTGCGGCCTTCGTGGGATCTAGGACTCCTCTCGGAAGAGGCCCACCCGTCGCAGTCTCTGAGATGGCGCCCCCTGTGGCTTCTGGTACTTGGCCCAAGGGGCCTCGTCCTGCGAAGTCCTTCGACTCGCTTGGAGGCTCCGGTCCCTTTGCTTCCGACCCTTTGGGAGCTCCCTGAGCTCCTTCGGCCTCTTTCTGCTTCCGAGTCCAGTCGCGCAACTTCTCGTTGATGGACTCGCCCTCTCTGCGCTTGCGCTCCTGCGCCTGCTTCAGCAGCTCTTGGAGGGATGCCTTCTGCTGCTGGTATCTCCTGGCACAAAGGAGTTTCGGTGCATACTGGCAACACACCGCACTTGCAAAGAGCTTGGGCCTCCGAAGGACCTCCTCTGCGTACTCTGCAGATCGGCCCATGACCTGGTTTCAGAAGCAATCCCGGACTTTTAAATTGATAACCCTGATAAGCTTAAGCCCCAAAAAAACCCTCAAACCCTCACCCAAGACTCAGAGTTCCCTGCTTTGCACAGGACCCGCTGGACCGGCCTCTTCGGCCTCCCTCTGCATCTGCGCCTCCGCCTCCCGGCAGCGCCGCTCCTCCGAGGTCCCCGCGCCCTCGGCGAAGAGCGGCGCGCCGCGGCCGCTCCGCCGGGGTCGCGGCTCCGGCTCGGGCCTCTGCGGCTCCGGAGGAGCCCGGGCCGAGCCTGCACAGAAAGGGGGAAGAAAAACCGAACCTCACAAGTCTCTCCTTAAGGAAGGAGCAGCCCCCCGGCCGTGGCAATTTCCGGAGCTGCTGTTGGGCCAAGCTCCAGGTGTGGCAGCCTTGCAATTCTGCCTGGGGACTAAAGCAGGCGAAGCTGCTTCAAACAGTGTGGGAATCGGCTTTGCGGGGGTGACAGCAAGGAGGAAGAGGGTGTGTGATCACGTATGATCCAGCTCGTAGATCTATACTTCCTAGTTCTGCAGAGATTTGGAAGGAATGCGAGTAGTCACCATTGAGCACCCTGAATTGCACTCAAACCCCTGAACCCTAACCCTCATAGTTGAGGCCTCTCGATGAGACAAGCTGCTTAGTGCCTTTCGCAGAGTCCGTGCGGCTGGAACACAGAATCTGTTCGTAGGCATGTTGGACCTGAGCCCAGCTGTGTGGGGTTCGGTAGGCGCATGTAGGGTGTGGGTCTCAAAGCTATGAGTCTTTTCAGTGTCCCTAACAAAACAAGCTATTAGTGTCTGGAATAAGATTGAGGACATGTTGTTCAAATTTGGCTGCTAGTCTACATTGTCACGAGCGATGACATCATTTTGAATGCGAGCGTTCATTTCCACACATGTTCGATGGGGTTCGGGCTGGGATACTCCGATATCCAAGAGTGAAGGTTGTTGCCAATAGTGAACGTAAATTACGCTGCTTGGAGAAGAAAAGGTGCGATGCTAGGCGGTCCTGCACAGGCTCCACATGTTCTAAGAGCATCTTCTCCGGCTCCATTCAGGAGACCTAAACCCTAAACCCAAACCCAGAACCCTTAGACTACAAACCCTGAACCCCAAACCCTCCCTCCCCCCTCTCGCCCCGATGTCACCAAGCCTAAACCCTAAACACAACTCTCCTAGGCCTGTTGAAACTTCGCCGTGCTCTGCGCCAGCTTCTCTGGGTTCTGCTGCTTGTCGGGATGCCAACGACGAGCCTTCGTCATGAGGCTCATGGTCTTGGGGCTAGCGCTCATGGTTTAGGGAGGTGTAGGGTTGAGGGATTCGCGTTTAGGGTCATCTGGTCAAGGTCGTTGCTTGAATGCTCCTGCGCTTTAGGGCTTAGCGTTTTTAAGGTTCATGGCAACTGAAGCCTCGCGATAGTACGCTGCCCGAATCTTCCGGTCATCGGCATTCCGGTCCAGGCCAAGGACCGCGTAGGGATCACCACGAAGCTTGTATCCTCAGTTGGGAGTAGGGATCCTGTCTAGAATTTCTACAGACTAAAAGACAACAAGCGTTTCGCCGTCAAGGCAGTAGCATAACACCTGTCTACAAACCTTGGCTAACTTACACTTACACCTAACCAAAAAATACCACAAGAAACTGCTTGTTTCAAAACAAGTCTCGCAGGGATGGTGCTGACATTGGCCGAAAGAGGCATTCACTCTTCGCGCAGCGAAGATGCAGTCAGCTCCCCATTTAGGGCCGAGCTGCGATCAAACTTCGGATGTCACCCCTAACCCTAAATAGTTCTGAAACCTTAAAACCGCACCATCCTGAAACCCTGAACCCCCCAAAAAAAAGTTTGGAGTCGTTGATTACAACCAGCGCTACAATGGCTCCTTCTGCTGCGAGCCTCCGGCAACTCAAAACCCATGCAGGGAAGAAACGCCTGAGCGATATATCGGCGTTCTGCAAGGGTTTAGGGTTTAGGGTTTACGGTTTAGGGTTCGGGGCAAGGATTCTTGGAGTAGAATTAGCAACCACCAGACAGGTTCGTCCAGGAAGCCAGAGACCCCAAATCCCTTCATCCAAGCTTCCTTCGTAAGGGAGAGCTCAGAAAACTACAAGTTACAGAATATCCTTTACATAAGCGATGCTAAGAACCTCCAGGAAGCCCCGAAACCCTTATAGAAACCCGAAAGCCTTGGTAACCCCTTATAATAACCCCTTTACAGTATCCCTTATAGTAACCCTGATAGAATCTTAGATACCCCAAACCTACCTCGGCCCTAAGCCACGCTCGGCTCCGCCTGGGTCCTCGTCCACTCGCTCGGCAGACCTCCGCGAGGGACAACGCATCCCAGCCGAGGCCTCGTCGATGAAAAGAATGACGAGATGATTTTGGGTGTTTTTGTTGTTGAGGGCCTTTTTCTGCAGCTGTTATCCACAGAGAGCCCCAGGGGGCAGGCTTGTACTATACATCTATGATCTAAGGTTTAGGGTTTAGGATTTAGGGTTACAAGAAGATCACCACTCACTCGCAATAAGACCATCAATGCAAAGACCAGCCAGCTGTCATAAGAACAAAGCAGCCGCTCGATGTCCAGGAAGAACACAACTAACAGACTACGTGAGGTTGTAATCCTGCCTGGGGCAGACCATTGCTGTGACTGAGCTGTGCTGGTGTCAGGTTGCCACGGAAGCTCTCCTGACGACAGCGCAAAGCGAGTCAAACCACAAGAAACCTCCAAGGGCAAATTCCTGATACTTCCAATGCGATTTTGGGGATCATGAAGGTCAGGAGGGCATCTTCGAAACATTCCGCAATTTGCGCTAAAGTGAATGCCCCTTCTGGTTCGGCGTCCTCCAAAGCATAGGGGCGCGGCCTGCCACGTCTTTTTGGTGGGTTTAGGGCTTCGCATAGGGTTTAGGGACGTCGGGTTTGGTGACTTTTTGTAGAGGGCGCAGGGGGTGTATGGGAGCTCTTGAAGATGGGCTTAAAAAAGACATAGGTGTTTCGGATAGGTTCTTTTTAAACATAGGTTTTTGGGATAGGCTGGTTTGACAACCTATGAACTTGGAACTCTCCGAAGCCAGGGCTGAAGACTCAAGAGCCAGGCCCCAGGCCGGGCCACGAAGATGGTCCAACCTTGACTTGGCTTTTCAGGGGTTTAGGGCTTAGGGATTCAGGGGTTTAGGGGTTCAGGGGTTTAGGGATTTAGGGGTTTAGGGGTTTAGGGTTTAGAAATTTAGGCTTTCTGGTTTTAAGCTCTTTTTTGAGGCTCGGAAACAAGGCCTTTAGGGTTCAAGCTCGAGGGTTTTTGGTTTATGGTTTGAAGGGAAACCCTGAGTTTTCTGCTGGGTGATGGCCTTTCGTCTGTTGCCTTGCTCAAGCAAACATCGCCAATTTTGTGGCTTTCAATCCCAGTGCTTGCGCAAGGAACTAGAGGCTTGTGGCGAAGGAACTTGGAAGACTTCGGAGTTGCAGGGGACGATCTGGGCACCATGGCTCGCATTCCCCCTCTGGAATGGCTCTCTGACAGCTTTTCTTGGGGAGTCATCCCCACCGCCTTAAATACCCTGAAACTCTACACACTCGCTCCCAAACCCTTCAGCCCTAAAGCCCCGTGAACCCTCAAACTTAAACCTCACGACCCTATCCCTTAGACCCAAAACTCCTTTGAAACAGCGAGCTCCCTGACACCACAACCTCTCAAATCCTGAAACCCTAAACTGCCCCAAACTCTCGAAGCGAACCCTACTGTAAACTCTGAAATCGCTCAACGCTGCTCCTGGGTGCCGGACCAAAGTCGGCAATCCGAGCCAGACGAAAGTGGCTGCCCGGGAGGTCCTGGCATCGCTTTGGGCTTTGGGGTCCCTTTGGGTTTAAGGTTTAGGGCTTAGGGGTTTAGGGTTTAGGGTTGAGGGTTTAGGGTTGAGGAGTGAGTAGTAGGAATCAACCTTTCAGTCGGCCCTTCCAGGTCTTGGGGGGGAGCCCCGGGATACAGAGGCCGTGACTGTCGCGAACCTTTGGGATACAGGGTACCTTTTGAGGGGGACCCTGTTATAGTACGATAAGGGCTCCTTTAAAGGGAGCCCTATTTTGGGGTTTAAGTTTTTTGTGGGATACTTTCCTGGAAGGAGAAAGACCGGACTCCTTGCTTCCTAGCAAAAATCCGCCACTCCTGCAACGGAAGCCTTGCAATGGGGATCTAGGGCGTAAGGATAACGAAAGACTGGTGGCAAGCTTTTCGGGCTTCGGCCTGTCAGGATGTAGGGTTTGGGATTTAAGGTTCGAGGCTCCAGCTTCTGACTCTTTGGCTTTCCGGGTTTGGGGATCCGCCTTCGCGAGTCGACAGCGTCGGCCAATTCTCCTGAAGATCACTTCTGCGAGGCTTCGAGAAGCCCAGACTCCAAATTGAGGGATACTACCAGGACCCCAAATAGTGGTATTTACGGTCCGACAGAAGGTAGAGGGCAGAGATGCTCTGGGAGTTTCTGGGAGGCAAAACATGCACGTCCTGGGAATGGAGCTGGAGACCTGCCACTCGCTTTTGCCGCTTCTTGCAAGCCCTACAGCCCCACAGCACGCTTCTTGCAAGGTGAGTCCGGCACGTGCCAGGAGACCTGCAGCACCTTGATCTTGCTGAACCTGGAGCAGATCAGTGATGCTTCAGGATTTGCAAATTTGGGGTTTAGGGGCTCTTAAAATTCCAGTGTGGCCGAGGTCTCCACCTACAGACTCCAAGAATTGAAGCCCTGCACCCAACACCTCTACACCCCAAAAGCCAAACAAACAGAGCCCTATAGGCACCCCTTCGGCCGGAGACTTCAAGTCTCTACTCACTGCTTCTGATTAAGACACCCTGGCCCTAGAACCCTAATATACTAGGATGCATATATGTGAAGAGCCCTAAGACAGACCCACAGTTTCTCAATCAGGTATATCAGGGTGGTTCTCTAAATTCGGCTCCGTTTTTAAGTCCCCAACGTAGTATGGCACCTTTATTCAAAGGATCCGAAGAGGGACCCTAATTTCGAGACGTACCCCACATTACTTTCGGAGAATCGAGGCCGGTGCCAGCCCGTGTCTCTCAAGCGCTCCAAGACCGCCTCCAGCCAAAGAGGGTTTACGGGGGGCCGTGCGTTCATTCACATTTCGGACCGGGGGGGGCAGGGGGGGCAGACTTATTGACGTCCGGTTTGCGCAGACATGAAGATGTGCAGCATGCAGATCGCACATCCTGGAAGCTTCTTGCTGGCCCAAGCAAAGATTGCAGGGATGCCTAAACAGTGATGTCAGATAAAGTTGCTCAGACATGGCTTAGACCCCCGGCCATTAGTTCCATGCAGTCATACAATATTCTAGCTTCTTCTATTAGCTCCCAAAGGCAGTCAACAACTTTTGAACTGGCTCAAGTAGCAAGGATTGTTCTAGAAGCTTTAAGGCCTTACCATCAATTCAAGGGCACCGTCAGATAAGACTCTTCAGAAATGGTTTTGGCCCAACGGCACTAGAACTATACTCTCAGACTCATTCAATACTAAGGGATCGTAGATTCAAGCCTCAAGGCAGCCACCAACTTTTCACGTGTCATAATAGTATGAAGGATTGTCCTAGAAGTTTCAAGGCCTTACATTCTGTAGAACGACACCGGGCTCTAGGCAACGCAAACCTGCAACATGTCTCTGCCCCATAAAGGTGTCAAACGCCCCGTGCTGTGGCCGCAGCACGGTTTTGCAGCTTTTCGTTTTCAAGCTGTCCCTTGCCAAAAGCACTCTCCGGAAAAAAGGCCTCCGAAAACAAAACACGCTTAACAGTGCAAAACACATCCGTCGTGCGGCGGGAGCACGAATTTCAAGCAAAAAATATCTTGAAACTTTCAATTTTCAAGACCCACCGACTAATAAATACTCAAAATTCGAACAAACGCCTCGCGAAAATGCATAATCACGAAAAGTGTGCGTGAGCTTCTAGTGCTTTCGGCACCTGCGAAAGCGCATGACCCATGCTTCAAAGCAACTCTCATCCATTAGGCCCCCACATACTCGCAGCCCTCGCAGTTCACGCTGAAGACGTCGATCGGTCGCCTTGACAATCGTCTGTCGCACTCTGGGGTGGGTACCAGCAGAGCATCAGCCATGAGGTATGCCTCTCTGCATGTACGACATTCTGCAGCAGCTTGTGGATGTCACGGACTTGAACGTCCTCCGTTGGATCTGAACAGGATTAATCCACTCACACCTGCCAGCAGAGATGCGAGCTGGCTGCATCACCAACACCACTCCTCAAATCTAGGCTTCTCCTTGCGCCGCTGTACAGCACCGTACCTTGCAGGCCGCACACAGCCTTTCGTACATCCCTCCATGCCCGCCACAGTCCGCAAAAAAAGACACCATGGAAGCCCCTTGCGACGGGGCACGCGGAGGATGCAGAGATGTCGCCGTCGGTTCGGAAAGTCACCTGGCTGGAGCTTTGTGCGTTTAGCTCAAGATTGCATCAAGCATCACGTCAGGAGGATCTTCGTCGGAGCAGCAAACATACCACAACCTTGGGCTTGCAAAAGCAACCTGGTTGTGGCACTACCTTGGCATCCGCATCGGAGGCGCCCAAGTTGTAGATCTTCACCTCTGCAAAGGTGTCAAGACAGCAGGACCTTTATGAACAGAGGAACAAGCAAGCGCTTGCTAATGAAGCAATACAAATCAGGCGCCGGGCGCGCCCCTCGCTTATAGGCGCCGAAAACTTCTGCAACAGGTAGTCGTAATGCCTCAAGTCAACGAATGAGACTGTGTTAAAGGCCGCCTAAAGTCTGCAGCCCAAATCCGAAATCCCACATCGTAAACCCCAAACCTTTAACCTTAACAATCATCCATCCCAAACCCTTAACCCCAAAATCCTAATCCCCAAATCCCAACATCAACCATCCCAAAAATCCGAAAATCCCAGAATCCTACCTCCAAATCCAGAGCCCTTCCACCCCTAAACTCCAGACTCCCCCTCGTGGTTTGAGGGTCCTGCGACTTCACGGGTTCGAAGCTGTGGATGTGAGCGTGGGGGTAGAGCGTCAGGAAGGCCTCCGACAACAACCAAGAAACAGCCATGTAAAACTAGAAAGAGCTAGGGGGTAGTTCTCTAAACTTGCGCCCCTTTCACGGACCCTTTTGTAAGGGTGCCGTACCATATTTGGGACCGAAGAAGGAAACCTTTTTTAGAGAACTACCCAAGAGCTCCTGAGTAACAGGAAAGCCACGAGAACAGCCCGGTCGCCTGCAGGTCTTCACCACGGTTGCCCCCAAGCTCCACGATGACCCGAGGCTTTGGGACCTGCTCTGAAAGACTCTGAGAGATCCACCAAACCTCACAAACACTAATTTCACCCAAAAAAACCTCCGAAACCCTGCACCCTAGACCCTAAGAGCCTAAACCCCGAAATCCGGGCCGCACCTCGGGCCACTTCCAGCGCACGTTTGGATGTTGGCCACCTTTGGGAGAGGAGCGCCGGACCTCGGAAATCATCCAAGCCTGCACTGCTTTCAAGGCCTCCGCCCTTCAAACCGTTCCAGTATACAGTTAGGTTAGAATATGTGCAGTGCATTATGTGTAGTCAATTATGGTCATTTTGGTATAACAAGTATAATATAGCAACTGATGACGAGGATGCCTCCGGGCACTCGCCGAACTTCGCATGCATGATCTTGCTCATGGCCTTCCCTGACACCGCGAAGCATCGCATCTAAGCGCAGAAGGAGGAGGCGCTCCAGATCTGCCCCGGCCTTTAGGCGCTTTTTCAGCTTTCGTCCGGTTCGCTTTGCCTGAAAAGCAGATCTAACATGGGTATCATATGATATAATTTGATATCATATGAGATCATATACTATAGTACATTAAAAATTGCCATATAATATACCAGACCATAACATGTTATAACATACATGTGATACTTATACTTTTATATACTAGGGCCTTACAGGCTAGACATGGTTAGAATGTGCCATTAGGGACTTGCCTGCTGGCCCACGGAGACGGCCCGGAGATTCAGCAGCCTCAGAAATCCGGCGCCCTTAGGGTTTTAAGAGGGAGGCCTTCATGGGGCTTCGGAGAGTCTTGGTGGGGTGCTTCAATTAGAGACTCTAGGAGTCGAGTAACCCTTAATCCTGAACCCTAAACTTTAACCCTAAACCCTAAACCCTTGTCAAACCCTAATTAAATTTAGGGTCTGGGGTTTGGAAAGTCCCTTCTTCCGGCCTTGGCGGTGGTCTTGGGCAGGTTGTCACAAGCGAAATCCTTCTGAAACAGCAGGACGCAGGCCTGGCGCACGAGCGGGAAGCCGCGAGAAAGGCACTGCAGGGATGACCGCTCAACGAATTTACACCATGCTGCGAAACGATTCGAGCAAGCTCCGCCAGAGCCCACCTGAATCAAGATCATCACCATGAGGATGAGGCTCTCCAGGGAGATCCTTCAAAAAGGGCAGTCGCCACTTTAGGATCTGGGGCTTAGTTTGTGGCCTAGCCGGCCCAGAGGGTGACAAGTGTGCCTGCTTGGCAGGGCGGCCATTTCCTTGAGCTCTGCACCTAGCCTTGGATCGCAGTTCGCGGTGCATGGAAAGGTACTCCTAAGGCAGCCATGCAAACGAACCAAAAAAACGCGGTATGAGCCTTGGCTAACGCTTTCGAGGCACTGCGGCGCATCTGCAGCCCATGTGAAATCGCTACTGCGTCCATCCCGGAGGATGCACAGAAAGGATGTTCATGGAAAAAGAAGAAGAACAGCTTGATTATTATTCGGCTGAGAGCATGGGTCATGGAGGAGTATTTCAAGCCGTTGAGCTCAGTGTCCAACGATCTACTGAGTGATCGTTTTTGTGTACTTGCCTGTTCGTGCGAGAACCCTGCTTCGAGCAGCGAATCGTTGCAGCCAAGACACCACTGTTGTTAGCATTACTATTTCTATGATCGCTGCAACTATTGCTATAACTCTTGCTACAATTCTTGCTTTAATTGTTTCAATTATATTGTTAGTTACTACTACTATTCGGATTTCTGTTACTCTTATTTTTTGATATGAGTAATGATATAAGTGATCCTACAGACGAGCTTGAACCCTGCACCTCGGGGTTCTTCATGTACCAGTACATCAGCTCCCGCATCTTCTCTCCGGTCGCAGACCGGAGCTCCTCTTCCGAAACTGCTTCGGGTTTAGCATTTAGGGTTTAGGGTCTGGGGTTTAGGGCTTCGGGTCTAGGGTTTAGGGGTTTAGAGGTTTAGGGTTTAGGGGTTTAGGGTCTAGGGTTTAGGGGGCTAATCTTGTTATCGTTGCTATAACTTTAACTATTTCTACAATCAGTACTATTATTTCTACTAGTTACTATGATGTTTGGTTTGGAAAAGATGACGGTGGTTCGACTCCTTCCAGGTCTTGGGAAGCCGCTGGAAGGTGGAATGTTACGAAGCAGCGGCTAAGCAACGGGGTGTTGATTTAATAGGGTTTAGGGTTTAGGGATTAGGGTTTAGAGTTTAGGGTAGCAGTGCAGGTTGCTGTGGAGGCCGTGACCGATAGCTCTCAAACACTCACAGCACCACAGGGTTTGACAGCTATGCCAATCGAAAGGCTTGGCGTGACCAGTTCCAGTCCTGAGGCGGCGTTCGCAGCACGTAGTTGTCAAAGCTGCCGGCATCGTCCATGCTGTACACAGCAGATGGGGTCACCTTGGACTTTGATTTCAGCTACCATACTAAGGAAACCACATAATTTACAATGAATCCCTATTGTGGTAACTTATGATAGGTTCCTTAACAAGAGCCCCGCAGAACCTGATGGAAGATCTGGTGATCCAGGCACCCGTAAGTTGTAGATGGTAGTGTTGAGGGCATCGGAGAAGAAATCCTGTGGAATAGCGGCTTCTGATCAACAAGCTTCTTCACCCACCGGGGCTCCTTCTTGTAGTTCAGCGGGTATATCTTCTTTCTCGTCCACCGGCCAGTCCACCTCAGAGCCCAAATCTCGACACCAGATGGACAAAGCAACAGGGAGCCGCCTTTTTCTTGTGTAGTAGTTGAAGTCGTCTGAACCCCAGAGCGCCATCTGCGATGAGAAGGACCTTGTGGCAGTGGGAGGGTGCCGCTTGCAGGAAAGCTGACAGCCTGCTCCAAGGTTCATGGGTAGTCATAAACGGGGTCACAAGTCAGGTGGTTATAGCTATAAATGAGCTATATTACAGGTTACAAGTACTTATAGCCCGAACTATGACTACCCAAGAGCCTCAAGCTTTGTCAGTTTTGGTGTCGTGCAAGAATCCGAGGTGGCGGCGGTGCTCTGCCGTAGGCTTTCACCGGCACAACCCTGCGGCTTTACACACATTCTGCACTCTTCGGCACCCTGCAGGTTCTGGGAAGGACACTCCGACACCACCTAAACCCTGAGCCCTACGCCCCAAAATCCCAAGCCCTGCATGAAGCAGGCTCCGCCCACTTTTTGTCTTCCTTGCCGGCCGAGGGATCTCGGAGCGATGCAAAGGAAAGGTGAAAACACACCCGCGAGACCATGAGCTTGTTTCGGATGATCTGAAAATATCAGCCGTTGGTAGCATGACAGTCTTCGCTATTCTGGATTGCCTTTCGGTAGCCGATTCCTCTGGGTTCTCAGGTTCCGCCCATGTTGTCGGGGTCGCGGAATGTCACGGGAGAGACCTTTGACACCAGGTCAAAAGACGACCTTGTCTGTCGGATCGATCCAGTTGATGATCTTGAAGTTCTGCCTGGATCAGACCAAGGTGCTTAAGATGTGTCCTGGTATATGGGAAACATACAACGTGAGCGACCTAGAAGTACTTATGCGTAAACAGTTCCTGCTGTCAACCACCATGTCAACGTCCACGCGCTTTGGCATCGGATCTCGCCTGGGTCCCAGGACGCAGCGTGGCACAGAGGTAGCGGTGGCCATTCATGATGACGCTGTTCACACACTTCGTGAAGTGTAGGCTTTTCTGGTAGAGTAGGTAACAAAACTTAACCGCTGAACCAGCAAATAGCAAGAAGAGTCCGAAGACATGTGCACAATGATCAAGGTGATGGTGAATGACTCCGACCGCACAACCTGCACACGACCAGCACAGCGCAGCAATCAGGGTCGGGCTTCTCCATCATTGGAAAGGCTGACCTTGCTTCACGTTCATCACGACATCTGGCCCTTCTACTCATATACTCTGTGCGAGTATACACACTGGAAACATTGTATTCACACTGTATACACACTTTTTTCTGTACTATTTATTTATTTATATGTGTGTGTGTGTGCGTGTATGTCTATATGTATGCATGCATGCATGCATGCATGCATGCATGCATGCATGCATGCATGCATGCATGCATGGATGGATGGATGGATGGATGGATGGATGGATGGATGGATGTATTTATGTATGTCTGCCTGTCTG